CTCTCTCTCTCTCTCTCTCTCTCTCTCTCTCTCTCTCTCTCTCTCTCTCTCTCTCTCTCTCTCTCTCTCTCTTCCTTTTCCCTTCTTGAGTTCTGCAGCCTGCTTTACCCTTGGGGGCAGGACACTTCCCCTCAAACCCACTCTGAATCCTTCCCTCTCCATTATCCTCCTTTTTTAATACAATGACAGGCTTGCAAAGTGTTTCCTAAAGAATACAAGGTTTGATCTTGCAGCCTTCTTTTTGATTCCTTAATCCACACTTACCGAAAGGAGGCAATTATACTTCTCCAGGCTTCCTTTCCTCCCTCTTCCTTCTCTACCATCTATAACCTCCCCTCAGCCATGGTTCTTAAATTCATGTCTTCTAGATCTGTACTGGCTCAGGCTTCTCAGGGACAGTGCCAACCAGCCCTCCAAAGGCCGTAGTCTTAGCCACCCTTTGACAGAACCTTAGCTTCTTGTGTCCCAATCATTCTACTTGTAAGAAATCAATGGACAGTGTGGCAAAAAACAACCAATCAAACAACCAACTCAAATCAAACAGCCAACCAGGAAAACACTGAATGGTGAAAGTGATTACAATGATGAGGTCAGACTAAAGGGGAAGATTAAGTCTGTTGGAGGAAACCATTAAATTCAATTCCTCTGTTTCCTTTATGTCAAGTGGACAGCATTTGGGAAATGGGTCCATTCCTGAGGCAGATGTGACCAGAAGCAGGGTGCCTGGATCTCAGCTTGTGATGCATCTGCATACATCTGCCCTGCTGTGGTGATGGTGGAGATAGGCCTGGTGGTACCGAGAAGCCTTGGTCCTGTTTGATGTTTTCCTGCATGAAGTTACCTTATTTTGTCCTCTGGGTATCTTGCATTGGTCGTTTCTGGCCCTATAATAAGGGGGAAATATTACTTTAAAGCTCATAGTTCGGAAAGGCTTAGGCTACTCTACCTTTCTTGTAAGACACACGTCTCTTGAGGCCTGAGTGTTTACCTTCTTCCCAGTGCTGCTATGGCCATGCTGACCCCTTTCCTTTCATTGGATTCTTCTGGGTTTCCATCTGGGGGTGTTGGTGGCTGCTTGACATTCAGGGTGGGACATCTGTGATCAAGATGTAGAAATTCCCTTTGTGTAAATAGCCAGTATCTGCAAGCAACGTATTCACTGCACATTCCCATCTGACCCTCCTGACAAACTTTGTTCTGCTTCCTAATCATAGTGTCCACTAAGAAATGAATTTTATAATTATATAGTAGTAAATATGTAGAAAGTTTTGAAAGTGCAGGAAAGAAAAATTAGCCATCTAGAATCCTTCCTTAAGGATAACAGTGATTATCATTTTGGTGTATCCTAGCGTGTGTGTGTGTGTGTGTGTGTGTGTACACACACGCACTCTTTCTTTCTTTCTTTCTTTCTTTCTTTCTTTCTTTCTTTCTTTCTTTCTTTCTTTCTTTCTTTCTTTCTTTCTTTCGTGGGACCGGGGATTGAACTCAGGCCCTTGCGCTTGCCAGGGAAACGCTTATTCTACTGAGCCATCTCCCCAGCCTGCACAAACTATTTAAAAGACATTTGTAATTGTAGTTTGTACATATGTACTTGCAGTGATAAGACCTTGAGAATCCTTGTACCTTATAAGATTCATGTATATGCTCCTCCAGCAGGAATGACAGGTGGCACCCAAGCAGGCCGACCGGCAGGCAGGCTCCTGGGCTCTGTATGGAACTCTTGTTGTCTTTCCCATGAGTCTGAAAATTTCCCTGCAGGGCTGTCCCAGATGGATGCTTCTTTCTCACCATGGTAGTCAGCTCATCTTGAGCACTCTATCTCACTGAAGTTTGCTAAGAGAAGAGAACTAGGGGTTGAATTCCCAAAGGGCTTTTACCCAGCTTGTTTCCTGAATAAGTATAGTTATCATGACCTTCTCATCACCTCACATGTGCAGAGGGCTTTACTCTTCAAGCCCCTTTCCCATGTCCCATTTCATCTGTCCTTCCAGCAACCCTGCAGGGTGTTGGTGTTAGTTCGTTTTTGTTTTTTTTTGTTTTTTTTTTTTTTTTTAGATAAAATACCCAGCAGACACAATTTAAAGAAGAAAAGGTTCATTTTGGCTCATGGCTCCAGAGGTTTCAGTACATGGTTAGTTGGTGCCAAGGCAGAAACATCATAGCAGAAGGATATAGCAGAGAAAAGCTGCTTGTTTGGTGGCACTCAGAAAATAGAACAAACAAGAGAGCCAGAGTGAGAGAAGGGGCTGAGGACCAGATGATCCCTTCAAAGGCATGCTTCTCGTTAGCCCTCCCCCTGTCAGACCTCATTTTAACAGCACACTCAGGAATGCACTGATGGGTTAGTCTGTAGATGAGGTTGGTGCTCCCACATTTTAATCACCATCCAAAAGCTCCTCCTCTGAACACATGCACCTTTTGGGGGGGCATTTTTATTTCAAGCCTCAATAGTCCTCACTCCTATTTTTATTTGGCTTTTACAGATGAGGCACCAGAGATATCAAATTTACATATATTACCAGCCTCTAAAGCCTTACCTTGTCCTAAGCCCTGACCAGATTTTGTAGGCACCACTTTGCTGCTTGTTGTTTTAGCACTCAGTTACAATTCATGTTCCTCGGTGCTAACTTTCCTGGCTGTTTTTTTTTCTTTAACTTCCTTCTCTTGTTCCTTGTAGGGGGCCGTGATAAGCGAGGTGGACCCATCTTGACCTTCCCTGCTCGCAGCAATCATGACAGAATAAGACAGGAAGACCTTCGGAAACTTGTGACGTATTTGGCCAGCGTGCCAAGGTAAGTTGAAGGGGAATGGCATGCAGGGGAGGGGAGTTGGGCTGATGCCAGTGAGTTAGAAAGAGCATCTATGCCTGCCAGGGTTTTTTCTGCCCTTGGAGTGGACTCTAATTATTCCTGGAATCTCCTCACCCATTGTTTCCCTCCTTCCCACCATTCCTATTGTTCCTGCTAGGATTCATATGAAAGGACAGGGGAGCTGGCAGTGAGAACTATGGGCAGAGGTGAGGGTCTCAGGCGAATGGGAGACAGTGAGGCCTGGGACAGAGGGACAGGAAGCTACTGTTTACCTTTGGGAAATGGGGACTGGTTGCTTTCACTTTGACTTGCACAGTGAGTTTTTAGAATCTAGTTTGTGAACAAACTAGACTTTAGAGTTTGGGGTAAATAACTACACCTATGCCACTTGACTAGAGGTAGTCCTTGGCTCCATCAGGGTCCTGCATTTTATTTTTATTTTTTTTTTTTTTTTTTTTTGTTTTTTTTTTTTAAAATTTTTTATTCTTTATTATTATTTTTTAAAAATCCTTGTGTCAAGGGCTGACTTTCAATAGATCGCAGCGAGGGAGCTGCTCTGCTACGTCCAAAACCCCGACCCAGACGCAGGTTGTCTACGAATGGTTTAGCGCCAGGTTCCCCACGAATGTGTGTTGCGTGATGGGCGAGAGGGCGGCCCCCTTTCTGGCCGCACCCCGTTTCCCAGGACGAAGGGCTCTCCATACCGGTGGGTCCTGCATTTTAAGAGAGGATAATATTCTTAAGGTTGGGATTGAAAATTAGTTCTTAGTAGTCTTATTTTTGTATGTATTAAGTATGAATATACATACAATACAGATATGTAGTATGTGTGATTAGTTTAGATTTCATTGGGTGGAGAGATTAGGGAGGAAAAAATCTAAAAGACTTCTTCAATGTAGAGGATAATCATGAAAGAAATATTGAGAAACACTGTATAGGTGATAGTAGCCACAGAGGTGGACAGTGGGGACATGCCAAAGACATGGATTACATCCTTTGAGAAAAACTTTTAAACTTGAAGTGTTTGAGACAGTGAACTAAAGAATAGATTTTTTTTTTTTTATGAAGAGGTCTTTGTAGAGAAGAAGTATTTCTGTCTGTCTCAGAAGCAAGGAGATGGGCTAAATAACCCATAATTGATCTAGATGATTTGGCAATTTAGTCATCTAGGGGCTAAGAAGTTTTTAAAAGCACCTTGTCCAAGTATGCTATTCACAGGCATGAAACCAAGCACTTTGTAAAGCAATTTAGAAGAACTTTCATGGGGACCAGAATGGACTCTTAGCTCGTTTACAGCCAGAAGAAACTGGAATCCCAGGAGATGTGATGGATACATTTTTCTACTTTCATGCTCATTACATACCTGTAGCTGATACAGGCTTATCTTTTCTTTAGAATAAAAGTGGGAACAAGTTGGAAGAACACTTTTCTTCACTCTTGATTTGTTAAAGATTAGAATAAGACAAATCAGAAGAAATTTTAAAAGAAGAGAGTTATAGTGGGATAAAGTGGAACAGAACCCAAGACTGGCTGAATGGAAGGTCATGAAAACAAACAAACAAACAAAAAATACAGTATCTCTGAAGGAGTGTATTACACACAGGCTCTCTGTTTCTCAAATGCTAGTTATAAGCATTATATTCTGAGCGTCTGAGAGCAGATAGTTCATCATAGGCTGGAAGCTGTGAAGCAAGAATGCTGGTGTCCCTTTTAGAAGGAATAATTGTTCTGCAAGGCCTACAGCTTCCCTACCAACGGACTTACATTCTTTAGAAATGGGAATAGTAGTTAGCTAAATACTGATTAGTCCTGCCTATTGGTTACTGACTAATTCTGATGGCCACCAGTTCACACCAGTCCATGACAAATCCTGGAAAAAAAATCGGGGACAGAACTATTCTAATGGCAGTGGATCTTGGTTGGAAAACTAAATAACTTAATGGATCAGTTAGAGTTTGCCACTCTTCTGCCTAGCCACTGATTTGAGAAGGAGAACTATGAAAATGTACAATTAAAGTAGATGATTTGGTGAGAAGAAATGATTTATTGTAGGTCATGCTAAAAGGGCAGGCTTCTGTTTGGCAATGGAGTATTTACCAGTATAGTCAAGTCTGTAGGTGACATTTCATATTCACTTATTCATAAGCTTATTTATTATCTATTTAACAGAGCCTTTATATGGCAGGCAGATTAGCATTCATAGTAAGCCACAAGAGATATTTGAGGAAGTTATGGAAAATATAGGTATTTCCCTACATAGTGCCAAAGCAGGTGATACTGAAGAGCAACACAGGATGAACTGCACTGGCTGCATGTGAGGTGAGTCAGCCAGCAGAAGACAAAATAGTAGGGCAAGGGAGTGATGGAAGAGGACTTAAGACTAAGGAAACAGCCTGTGTATTGGTCTTTGGGGCATTATTCTGGAATAGATGATAAATGTGATTGTGATTAATGAATAAGTAGTTGTTCTACTATCCAGTGGGTAGAGTAGGCCACATCTGGACCACTGCATTGAACCCTGCAGTATTCAACTAGTCAGCCCCATAGTGAAGTTACAGTGCTGTGAGAGAAGAAGCATGCAGAGGAAGCCACAAGCCATGTCTCTGCAGTTGAAAGAGTTATGTTTGCTGGCAGTCATGCAGATGAAAAAGAAGTGATTGCAACTGTCTGGAGAGCTGACTCAAACAAGAGAATAGGCACAGTCTCTGTTGTACCTGTGAGTAAAAATTGGAGGTGAGGTCTCAGAAGTGGAGGAAGAACCAGCTACATGGAAACTGTCTAGCAGTGGTATCAGTGTCTCCAGTCTTGTCCCTGGACACAGGATGATCCTCTGTTAGAGACGCTGTGCAAAGCATTCCTCCACTGGGTTGGAGAAAAGTAATTTCTGACTTTTTACTGCCCCAAATTCTAGGTTGATGTGGTATCCTGAGAGTAAAAAGATACTGAGACCTAGATCACAGTGGGGGTTATGTGGAGATGGCTCTATGCTTGAAGAAGGAATTTCTGATTACTGTATCTAGTAAAGAAACCTGGAGTTTTTCTTGCATTGAATTCCTCCTTTTCATCATCATTGCTACCCTGCTCTATCACAATCATCTTTCTGCTGCTCCTAAGGGCACCAGTTGACATATGTGCCACTTAACTCTGCTCTTAGTAGTGCTGCTGAGATGCTGAGTGTTCTGTAAGGAGTGCAGGTGTCATACAAGTGAGGAAAGATGACAAGAAATTAGGAGAGGTTATTCTGTAATGCCAATCAAACCAAGGTGCCTTTATTTGTCACTTATTATTTGATAACATTTGCTCTTGTTCTACTGATCCCAGAGAAAGATAAATTGTGCTTGTTGCCAGAACTATCTTTGTGCGGCATCACCAAAAAATAGGAATAAGTGGAGAGAGCCAGAAAAGACAGTTAAAGGAAGAGAAGGTAAAAACTGCAAGGGTTTCCTCCCACTATTTGCAGCATGAGAGAGCCTGAACCATCCTGTCATCATCAAATGTGTTTTGTCGTTAGGGCCTTTGAGATATGCTGTTAGTGCCGTGCCCTTTGTTCTGAGGCCATCAATTAAAGAAGGGTGCAGGGAGGAAGCAAGGTGACAGAAAGTCCAGAAAATAGGATCAATGAGAATAATATGAAGTGACATTGTTACCTTTATATTTGCCTAAAATCTACAACTTTTAAAATTCACTTTATGCTGGGCATGGTGATGCACACTTGTCATCCCATTACTTAGGAGGCTGAGGCAGGAGGATTGCTGTGAGTTTGAGACCAGCCTGTGCTACATAGTGAGTTCAAAGCCAGCCTGAACCACATAGTGAGAGTCTGTATGAAAAGAAAAAAAAATCATTTTAAATTTCTTTTCTTGCCCATGTGTGGAGAGTTTGTAAATTCTGTTACAATTTCCACACATTTCCCAGCAGTATCAGTTAAGTGTCCCTATTGTAAACTGTGTATAACACAAGTACCAAGGAGCAAATCATGTCCTGCTACCCTGATAAGGAACATAAAATCACAGTAATAACTGTCATTGTTAGTTATCACTGTCCTTAGGATGACACTAAGCTTTGCAGGAACAGTTGGACAAGCATCATAATATAAACTGAAGTTGTTGAGCTTTAGTTTCCAGCTCTACTACTCTACAGTCAGGAAATGCATGTCTACTGAGGCTGGATGGTTTAAGAATATCTGAAGGACAGTTTATAAAGATGTAGGCAGATATAGGAGAACCAGTAAAACTGAAACAACACAGAGTAGACATACCCCTTGTAGGCCTGAGTGGGCAGGGTAAATATCAGCTCTTTCAAATATATAGAGAGGAGATTATTAGAGACATCAGCCAGGAGATTTAGGGGGTGATGCTACCACCTATGATGATTTTCTAGGGGGACAGGGAAATCAATATCCTGACCTCACTTTCCTCCCATTTTCTGATATTCTTTCGTTGTTTGTAACATTGGCTTGGTGTACCCAAAAGCCAGATGACATAGGAGTCCACTGATGTGACCCATGTATGTCAGTCAGTCTTCCAGGGTCCCAGGTATTTGGGAGGAGAAGATTGAGAATAAATTCAAAATTCAAATGGGAACTATATGGCACAGCATGAGACCTTGGGCATTATTATTCAACATTTCAGGGTCCAATATTCTGATTTTTTAAAAATGTATTTAGTACAGGGTCTACAAGGTCTCACTACACAGATTGGATTTGTAGTGACCCTCCTGTTTTTCAGCCTCCCAAAATGCTGGGATTATAGGTGTGCACCACCACACCCAGTCTCATTCCCTGTCTCAACATGCCCTAGGGGTGGGGCCGGCACTGCACATCCCGGATCAAACCTGGTCCCTGTGTCTAATCAGGTGCTTTAGTCTACTGAGCTATCTGGCCAGCCCAACATTCTGATTTTTAATTTATGAAAAGAATGTTGACATACAAGGATGTTGTGAAAAAAAATCATCTATCAATCTCTCTGTTGTACCTAGGTATA